GAGTCAAAGTCTACCAGTGGCTATGTATTTACTCTCGGTGGTGGCACTATATCATGGAAATATTCTAAGCAAACGTGTATAGCTCGATCTACTATGGAATCTGAGTTTATTGCTTTAGACAAAGCAGGAGAAGAAGCAGAATGGTTAAGACATTTCATAGAAGATATTCTTATATGGCCAAAGCCTGTATCGGTTATTTGTATTCATTGTGATAACCAGACCACAATAGCCAGGGCTGAAAATTTTGTGTATAATGGTAAGTCGAGACATATACGTCGTAAACATAACACCGTTCGGCAGTTGCTCTCAAATGGAACAATGTCAATTGATTTTGTTAAGTCAAAAGAAAACCTAGAGGATCCGTTCACTAAAGGGTTATCTAGAGAGCGTATAGATTGCGCATCGAGGGAAATGGGTTTAAAGCTTAAAACCCAATGAGTTATCTTAGTGTAAACCTAACCTGGCAACTGGAGATCCCATGGACTCGGTTCAATATGAAAACTAATTATGAATGACTCGATAAGAAGCACTTAGGAGTTTAACTCCTTCCCATTTCTATGATACAAAAAGTGCTGACTATGAAGTATATTAAGGATAAGCTTTGCTTTTAATGATGACTATAAATGGTATAAGTAATTACAGTAGGGTACTCTTTATAGTACATCACCTATGTTAGTGCGAACTTGGCCGGTTCTATGATAATTTACTTAAGCGAATTCTCTAAAGCACTCGCAGAACCTAAGTAGTTCAGGGCCGAAATAATGAACACAATAGAGAACCAAGTTTGATATGAGAGATAATGTGTTTGGCCTATTGTCTGAGCTTGCAATAACGGCTGACAGTTCAAAACGTTGCGTTCACTGATTAGCCAAGTGAGTTCGATAGATTCTTACTAAAGAAGGTTCAAAGCTAAAGCTACCTATCTTGATGCATTATCTTTCAGATAGTACTCTTCTTCCATCTTCCTTGATTTGAGTCGACTTCTTCCATTCATGTGGGGAGTTGTTGGAATTAATTGAATGTAATTGGGTTAAAACATTAAATGTAATATTTAATGGCCCATTGCAATTAATTTGAGTGAATTGGAAAAGTCTCCAATATAGGCCCATATGTTGCAAAGCCCATTTTAAGTGTTTTATATATGGAAAGGAATCCCACATCGAAAGTTTATAAGAAAATAGTCTTGTTTATATAGTGGGTTGTGTGAATAATATATAATTTAATAAGTTACCTACCACTTGGCTAACTTTAGCTAGCCAAAGGCTAGTCACTACTAGAGTGGTGCTTCGCACCACTCGCGCAGCTCCCCGGACCCGGTCCCGGCATGCGCACGTCGCAAAGTACGCATTTGGCGCTTTAGAGGCGCACTTGGCACTTCGCACGTACGCATCGTCGCGAGGAGTTGGGGAGCCTTATAGTTTTCGGAAATGAACTCGTGGTTTGATGATGTGGCAGCACAAGGCTTGGTGAGTTGGCATTCTAGGTGGCGCACGCGTGGTAGGTCGTGTCCCTTCGTCTTGCGTGGCGGTTAGATGTACGCGTGGCATCCGCATGGCTGTGACTGTTCAAAAATTGGTGAATAGGCATGATGAATGGACACTTCACTTCATGGTTCAATTTGGGCCGTCAAATCATGAAAATAGTGCGATCCAATGGCTAAGACGATTCAGACCAAGTAGTGCACCAGTTCCTGAAATGTTACACACCTGTTCCATGAGACACTTCAATCTCTATAAATAGAGACCCCCAGACTCGTTTTTTAAAAAAAAAAAAATAACAACACAAAATCAATTACGAATTCAATTGATTTCTAAATTCTTCTCTGCGTGGCGGTTAGATGTACGCGTGGCATCCGCATGGCTGTGACTGTTCAGAAATTGGTGAATAGGCATGATAAATGGACACTTCACTTCATGGTTCAATTTGGGCCGTCAGATCATGAAAATAGTGCGATCCAATGGCTAAGACGAATCAGACCAAGTGGTGCATCAGTTCCTGAAATGTCACATACCTGTTCCATGAGACACTTCAATCTCTATAAATAGAGACCCCAAGATTCCTTTTAAAAAAAAAAAACAACACAAAATCAATTACGAATTCAATTGATTTCTAAATTCTTCTCTCTCCATATTCTGCTCTAAAAATTCTCTTATATTTTCATTGTTATTTTGTTCGAGTACGATCATTCATTGGTTCGACCGACAATGTTGGTATTGTGCAGTATCGACTTTGGAAGGAGCGTTGTATCTTGGGAGACAGACGTCCATAATCTCGTTTGCACTTCATTGGAGGGAAAATCTATCTTAACGGGATTTGCTTTGGCATACCTCGCTTCATTTATTGTTTTCTATTTTTCTGCTTATTTTATTTGTTCTTTTGATTGCGTTAGTCGAATTTCCAACAACACTATATGGTTTCAAGGACTCGTTGCTGCATGAAGGAACATTTCACGAGAATAAGAATTTTGTATTCAAATAAAGAAATTGGTCTCAATTTCTACTGAGTGGTATCACAATGTCAGGTCATTCGGAGTAGTGAAGCACACAAATTTATGTCCGGAGACTTGAATAAGTTCGACAGGAGAATCATTGTTGTTTTGATTCCATCACGATTGCACAAGGATTTGAAAATAATAATAATAATAATAATGATCATCATCATCATCATCCCTATTTTGACTAATGTTGATAGTTTAGATGCCTCAAGAAAAATGGTCCAAAAAGTATACCAGGCTCGGCTCTTGCTTGAGTCAATAAATGGAGATGGTGAAGTTGTGGCTAACAATGTGTCTCTTTTCTTTACGAGAAATAGAGTTATCTTTAGGGCATGATTCTGGCAAATAGGTTGTCATGATAGAGAATGTATTATTGTTAGCAATCCACATTTTGCACGTATGCATCGACTTAGCATTGATGTAGAATGTGTGGTGAAATTTATGTCGATAACTGATGAACTCTTAGGAAAGCTAAACACGGAGGTTGCACCATAAATCTTCACTAAGTTTGTTGGACATGAGCTCATGAATGAATTTGATAATTCTAAGTTGGTATACTCTTTTTGATATAGTATAATAATTTTTGATTTTGAAAATTGTGGGTGTAAAAGAAAAGTTCCACCAAAATTTTTCAAGTGGCATGACCAAGAGAGTGAAAGAGATGAGATTGTGGTGGAGGTATATTATATTATTATTCGATTTGGAGGCGACATCGAAGAATTCCTAAGACTTTATACAATTCAAAGTCAATGTAGAGATTATTTGGAATTTGACCTAATATTGTCTAACTAACATAAATTTGTATTTGTCTATCTCAGATGGAATATATATATTTTTTATTTACAATGAGACTATTATGAATTTTACGTCCAATAGAAATGAAAGTCTCTCTTCTTTTATATCTTTATAAATAGAGTCCTCCCTATGGTCATAGACGATATTAAGTGAGATTCATGGGTCTTTTGTAGTCTTACTTGATCCAATTTTGTGGTGTATTGCATGGAGTTTGGGATGTACAAGAGATTCTATATGATCATAATTGATCTCCTAAACACCTGGTGTTTGTCATATTTTTGACGACTTGTGATTTTCTCCGATTATAAGTTTTTCACGTAAATCTTTGTATTGTTATTTTAACATAAATTTTTTGAATAAGGATCATGTGGACAAATAAAGGAATCGATCTCAATTCCTCAACATAACAAAGATTCAACACCATATTCTTGCAGTCACAACAAGAGGCAAGTGGAGACGAGTAATTTTGCACTACTTGATTAGGGATTAGAACATGATCGAATGGGACCAAGGCAACACTTGCCCTCTCAATCATGTTATGATTTTTGAGATTTACGAATATTAGAATATCAAAATTTATCGTTCCATTTATTTAAGATATTTATATGTCTTTTCCCGATTTCCCTATGCGATGGAGAACTAGCAATTTGAGATGGGCTAACGTGGAGCAGGGCGGGAGACTATAATTTTACATCCAAAACTCAGATAAACTGTCAAATTTCTGTTGTGAGATTCCAATCAACGGTCCAAACAATTACCTCGAATAATTAGTAACAATTAGAGCTGAACAATGAAACCTTCAAACCATTTTTTCAAGAACCTTGGTTTGGATTCACATGAATCCGTTAACATTTTGATTTGAATCAAACCAAACGGTATCAAAGTAGTTTGGTTTAAGTTTCAATCTTTACAAACCGTTTCAAACCGTCAAACCATTTTAAAAAATTGAAAATAAATTAATTTAAATTTTATCGAACTTAATTAAAACTAAACACATCCCAATTAAAAAGTTATATCTATATTAAACCTAACCAATTAAACACAATACCTAAATAAACAATTTTCTATTTCAATTAATTAATTAAATCATACCCAAATAACAATCAATCATCACAACTGTGAATGCAAAATCCTTAAATTAAGTGAAGTGCTGAACAATTGTTAATGAACTATTTTTATCGATTGTCCATTACAATTGAGTATACAATTAAATTTACGTTTTAATTCAAACTCACACATTTCTTTTATTTCTATGAAAAATTTTCTCTTCGACTAAATTTTCTGGTTAGATTATCCGATGTTTCTTATTTTTGGTTAATTGTTTGCTATATTTTATTAGTAATCATGTTGTTTTGTTCTAATTTGTGTCAATCTCACTTAAATTTTTGGCTAACATCATTTTTTGTTTATTTGTATCTCAATTTCTTGATCAGAGCACTAAATTAGTTATTTACATTTTAACATGGTTTCTACTTTTTATTATTAATTGCTAGATTGATTTAGTGGATTACTTAAATGATTGTTTTGAAAATTTGATCAATGAGTCTTTCGACATGTTATTTTAGTGAAAATTCAATGCAAATAAGTACAAGATTGTCCCCCCAAATTACTAAAGATGTATTAGCTATTTAAACATCTACAAAATAGTTTCTGAGTCTACATTCTCTATTACTGGTTGAATTATTTCCTTAGGAGTACGTTGAATTCGAATATGGTTGAGATGGTGATTTGCCGTAAAAATTGGTTGCATAGTAAGAAGGAACTTATAGTAATTCATCAATATTTGGATAAGGTAGAACCATTAGATGATTCACAAAAAGTTATAGAAACTATAATTGAATTTGATCTTTCTATTCATTTTTTTTAATTAGATGTTTTATATCATTTAACTACAATCAATGAATTCATGGACAATATTCTTATATTTATGGATGGAATAAATTGTGTGTTACAATTGCAGATGTTACGTCAATTAGTATCAACTAAAAAATTAACATGTTTTCACCATATTGTTGTATTATAATTATTAGAATTATAGAATTTGGGTTGTAATAGTTTTAATAATACTATTTATATTTTTAACGTGAATATTTAGACTAATATTTATAATTTAACTTATTCGATATCTGTTTTTTTTTTCTTTGTTAAACCGTGGTTTTAAAGTGAACCAAATTGAAAAAAAAATGGTTTGGATTGGTTTGATTTAGAAAGTGAAATGGTTTAGTTTGGAAAAATTTCAAACTGTTTTAAGTAGTTTGATTTGAAAATTTATATTAAAAAAAAAAATCGTCAAAACCAAATCGTGTTCGACCCTAGCGAAAATCCAAAATTAGCCAATAGTCATCTTTCCACGAAAAAAGAAATTCTTCCAAGTACTTTTTTCCCTTTTTCTTCACATATGTTTTATCCAATTTGCAGCTGCTCACTTTTAGTTTCACATCTAGCTGCTTTTTCTGAAGAAAAAAAAAATGAGCAAGGGACTAGGAATTTTCTCAATATTGGCGAAAAATCTAAAGGTTGATTTTATTTATTTATTTTTTTTTATCACACATTCCTACTCTATGCATATTAATTGCATAATTGACAAAGACTTTACACTCTGTTTGATGTTAGACGTGATTTTATTCAATTTTTATTTGTAGATCTACTATTCAAAATCTACATCTTTATTCTTTGTTTCCACTTATAGTGTGTTCAAATTGGTAAGTGTTGACCTTAGTTTCTGACCTATGATGTGGCCAACACATATCAATTTCACTACATAAAGCTCTTGCACACTTGAACAAATCGTTAGAAAAATGTAGCGCTCTTCGATGGTGCAAAAGGTAGTTGTGAACACTTCGATGATTAAGTCAATCAATTTATATATTTGGATATGGGATGAACGAAAGACGTAAGCCACAAGTATGGATACAAGTACCAAGTTGTAGAGAGAAAAACAATAGTGGACAATATTACCATGAGTGTATGAAATTGTATTACGTTCAAATAACACTAAGTGTGAGCTTTTATAATAGAATGGGTGGAATGATTATTGTGAAATGAAATGACACATGATCTCATCTTAATGGTCGTAACATTTTATTATAGGAGTCACTTTTCCAATCCTAGGTTTAGTGGCATTTAATGATTTTGAAAAGCAATCATCCTATAGTCTAGATCTAACATCTGAAAAATAAATTGACAAGTTGATCGAGAGACCTGTTGTAGAAATGTCAAATCAATCAATCATAGAAGATCTCTTGTAAGAGGTGAAAGAGGATGATGCTTCCGTGTGCTTGAAGCTTGTTCGCTTCAAATTATCACTGCAGCAGGTCGTGGCAACTTTTCTCGGCCATGGAGGGTTCTACCTCCACATGACACTTCTATAGAAGTGATGCATCACTTAGACTATCATATTATATGGTTTCAGTTAGAGGTGGACAAAATATCCAGACCAGACCAGACCAAACTAAGCCGTTTGATTCAGTTCTATCAAAAAAATTAATGATTTTGGTTCTTTGAATCGAGAACCATTTGGTTTTGGTTCAGGTTCAATTCTAGTTCAAAAACCAAAAGTAGAACCAAACTTAATATTTAACTTTATATTTAATAATTAGTGGAGATCCTGATTTTATATTTATTGGAGATAGCCCCATTAATTGAATACAGTTTATTAATCAATTTTGGGTCATTAGAGATAAACAATTCATTAGTTGTCTACACCCTAATTTTATAGTCAGGTGAATTATTTCTCATTCACTCCTTTTCAATTTACACAACGTCACAGCATACTGGTATCGCATTTCATCAAGTCAGTAGAGTGTTATTTATGATCGGAAAATGAAATTGGTCAGTTACTTAAAAAGTCTAAACTCTTTTTTTTTTTTTTTTTTTTTTTTTTTTTTTTTGTAGTTTTTTTTTTTATCTTGATTGTTTGATGAGTTATTTGTGTTCTTCACAAATAGAGGAAAACCTAATAAACATTAATGAAATATTAAACGGTGAATGTTGCATGTAGAAATGAACTATAAAAATTTTAATAATTCATTCTTTACTGAAAGGGTGTGCCTTCAAAACTACTGCAATTAATTTAGTGAATCATTACCAGGGCTGGCCCTTGGGCCAAGCCACCTAGGCCACCGCCTAGGGCCTCCAAATTTTGGCTTGGGCCTAGGGCCTCAAAATCTATATTATTTTCAATTCCCAAAATAAGAAAAATGATTTGGGGCCTTTGGGCTTGGACTACATGAATTAAATTATTTTGGAGACTTGGTCCACTTGGAGTCCCGAGTCCGTATACAATACATACATACACCACGAACTGCCCCAGCCCGTTATCTTTTCAATTCGACTTCCTCTAGTCTCTGGTTCCTCTCAAATCTGAAATCTCAATTCCAGTGAATCCAGAATCCTCTGTTGTTGTCCAAAATGCTCCATCTTCAATAATTTGTTTCTCTATTTCTCCATTCAAATCTCGAATTCTCTATCCTTTCGTCGAGGTAAAACCCAGTCTTTTTGTTGACAGAATTTGTTTATTTCTTTTTGTTGTTCTTATATGTGGGTATCTATATGTTTGAATTATTTTTTTCGTGGGATTTAATTGGTCAGTTCTCCTAGAAATTCTTCATGATTTATTATCTGGGCTCGCTTTGTTTTCTCAGATGCTTTGTGATATTTTTGGTGGATAAAGAATTATAGATCGTTCCAAGAAAGTAAAATTTAGAAATTTTTATTTATGGATCAATGATTTATGATTGGAAATTTCCCGTTTATCCTGTAGGTTTAATTTTTAATTTTTTAATTTTTGTCTGACCAGGAATTATTTTGGCTCAATTTTGATTGTATGAATTGCAATTCAATTTGATTTTTTAATTTTAATATGAAAAAAAAAATTTAATCATATATGTTTGAGGCATTAGAGATAATGGGTTTTGGTATCCTGTATTCATTAGTTTTGATATTTAGGGTTATTTATTTTTTCTTTCGAATTTGTACATAAAAAAGTTGAATTTCTGATTAGGATTTAAACTATTGATGTCTTCGCTAGTTGATTATATAAGTCCGTGAAATGTTATGAGTCCATAAGAAGTGGTTTGTGAATTTTTGGCTGATGATCATCAATTGATCACTCTGTTTTATGTGTGTTTCAGAATAGGAATTCAATAGCTGGCATAGTTCAGTTTTTGTGATGTTAACTTACTTCAACATGTTATTCTCATATAACTTGGTTCATTTATTATTTCTTGCAGGTTGATTGTTGAATTTCTACACTTGGAGTATTTGAGAATTTGGGATACTTTTAAGTCGAACTCTGAATCAGGTTCTACCGTTATGTGCTTTAATTATGTCCACTAGAAAATTTGAATCTGGATATTCTAAAAGAAAACAGCATAAGAAGGTTGAACAATTGATTAAATCTCAAGAGGGAGCCCTTGATAAATTTTTTAGTGGTAGTAAACAAAAACATAATGACGATGTAGTTCTCGAAGAAAAGTTTAATAAGAATGATATCGACAATAATACAATTGAAAAACATCATTGTCTGGTGAATGAAGAGATATATATTGAGTATGATGTTAAGAATGAAAGAAACATCAATGAAAAGATTAGTGAACCGTTCTCCTTTGATATTAGTGATCCAGCGAATTGGGAAAATATGAATCAGAATTTAAGAGATTTAATCATAATGAAAGGTCCAGTAAGAGATAATGATGTAATTTTTCCAAAAGATGTAGCTAATCGACACTTCTCCTCTATTCATTACACTCGACGGTTACCCAATGGAGAGAATCATGATAGAAAATGGTTGATATATTCAAAAAGTCTGGATAAAATATTTTGTTTTTGTTGTAAGCTATTCAAGAATGATGAGGTTCAAACTCAATTGGCACATGATGGTGCAAATGATTGGAAAAATATTGGTGCAAAACTAAGAACACATGAAGTGAGTTATGACCATATCACTAACTTGAGTAGATGGATCGAAATGGAAATAAGATTTCAAAAGGAACAAACAATTGATAAAAGTTTGCAGGAACAAATCAATAAGGATAGAGAACATTGGAGACAAGTATTGTTGAGAATAATATCCGTGGTTAGAACTCTTGCATAAAATAATTTGGCGTTTCGTGGAGATAATGAGAAGATATACCAAGAAAATAATGGTATCTTCTTAAGCTTAATTCAAATAATTGCTAAGTTTGATCCTGTAATGCAAGAGCATATTCGTCGAATTCAAAATAAAGAAATTCATTATCATTATCTTGGACACAAAATTCAAAATGAGTTGATACTTATGCTAGCGGGTGAGATCAAGAAAATAATCATCGAGAAACTCAAAGAATCCAAGTACTTTTCTGTGATACTTGATTGCACTCCAGATTTGAGTCATGAAGAACAAATGTCTATAGTATTGAGGCGTGCTGATATTTCAGCAAGTCCAGTGAAGGTAGAAGAATTTTTTTTAGGATTTTTATTGGTGGATGATACATCTGCAAAGGGACTTTTTGATGAATTAGTGAATGCGTTGAATAATCTAGAGCTTGATATCGATAATATAAGGGGTCAAGGATATGATAATGGTGCTAACATGAGAGGAAAACGTAAAAGGGTACAGAATAGACTACTACAAGTAAATCCTAGAGCATTTTACACTCCTTGTGGGTGTCATAGTCTCAATCTTGCACTTTGTGATATGGCTACTTGTTGTACAAAAGCTAAATCTTTCTTTGAAGTGGTGCAACGTATATACACTCTATTTTCATCATCTATTAAAAGATGGAAAATTTTTAAAGATAATGTAAATGGCCTTACTCTTAAGCCTTTGTCTCAAACACGTTAGGAAAGTCATGTTGAAAGTATTAGAGCAATAAGATTTCAAGCTCCACAAATAAGAAATGCTCTACTTGAATTGGCAAGAGTTGATGATCCTAAGACAAAAAGTGAGGCGGAGTGTTTGGCAACATATGAAATAGAGAATTTTGAATTCTTACTTGGGATGGTTATTTGGTATGAAGTGTTGAATAATGTTAATAGAGTAAGCAAACATTTACAAACAGAGGACATCCATATTGACGTTGCTATAGACCATTTAAAAGGACTCATTTCATTTTTCAAAAGCTATAGAGAAACTGGGTTTGAATCGGCCGTGATTGATGCTAAAGAGATTGCAAGTGAATTAGACATTGAACCAATATTTCGTGAAAAAAGAGTTATACGTAGAAAGAAGCAGTTTGATGAGATTTCTTGTGAAGAGATGACAGAAACAGCTGAAGAATCTATCAGGGTCAATTATTTCTTATATGTAGTAGATCAAGCTCTATCATCGCTTCAAAATAGATTTAAACAATTTCAGGAATATGACGATGTTTTTGGATTTTTATTTGATTTGGAAAAGCTTAAATCCATTGATGATGCTACATTGAAGTGTCGTTGCATTAATCTTGAAAACTATTTGAAGCATAACACAGTATCTGATATCGAAGGAATGGAATTATTTTCTGACTTGAAAGTTTTAAGGGAAGTAATATTTACAGAAATTAATGGAGCAGCTGCTGTGTTAAATTACATTAAGAGAATGAATTGTTGTTTTGCAAATGCTTGGGTTGCTTACAGGATATTATTGACTATCCCAGTCACTGTTGCGTCCGTTGAAAGAAGTTTTTCAAAGTTAAAATTGATTAAGTCTTATCTTCGATCAACCATGTCACAAGAGAGGTTGAATGGATTATCTATGATTTCTATTGAAAAAAAAATGTTGGAAGAACTTGATTTGAGTTGTTTGATTACTAATTTTGCATCTCAAAATGTTAGAAGACTAAATATGATGCTAGCTTAATCTCTCGGATTGTAAGTGATATTTTATTTAGCAATTTCATCTTTTATATTGTACAAAGTTTTCATTTAAATATAGATTTTTTTAATTTAAATATTGTTATACGTGTAGAAAAATAAAGTATGGGGCCTCAAGATTGCTGACTCGCTTAGGGCCTCCGAATTGTCAGGGCCGGCTCTGATCATTACTATTACTTATTAAACATTTTTTTGCATGAAAACGAATACTAATTTGTGTATTCAAATTATGAATATATTTTGTTTATTACTTATGAATTTTTTTGATCTCGATAATTGAAATTTGAACTTCTTAAATGTTTGATGTTTATTTTCTTATTTAGGTATTACTAATTTATATGATGCAAATCAAAAAATTTAAGAAATGAAACTAGAACCGAACCAAACCAAACCGGAACCGAATGGTTCGGTTCAATTTGGTTTCATATCTTTAAAAAACTGATTTGATTCCATTATAAAAAAAATCATTGGTTCATGGTACGGTTCAGTTATCTTGGAACCATGTCCACCCCTAGTCTAAGTTAGGCTAAATAGGATAGTGATGAGTGTTCGGGCCTGTTAGGGCTTATGTATCCATTTGTATATTGTTATGCCTTAAAACAAAGGCTTAAAAAGAAGTCTATGCCTCGAACCTCGGCTCAAGAAGCCCTCAGACTGAGGCCTTGAAGTGGAAGCACTACATAGTAGAGGCCCTAAAGCGAAAGCACTATGTAACTACCAAGCCTTGAAGCAGAAGCACTGTGTAGTAGCCGACGCCCTGAGCGGAAGCACTCTGTAAGTGCCGAGGCTTTGAGGGAAAACATTGTGTAGTAGCCGAGGCCCTGAAGCGGAAGCAATGTGTAAGTACCGAGGCCCTGAAGAGGAAGCACTATGTAAATAGCTGAAGCCTTAAAGCAGAAGCACTATGTAAGTAACCGAGGCCCTGAAGTGAAAGCACTGTGTAAGTGCCGAAGCCCTGAAGCGAAGCACTGTATAGTGTCAAAGCCCTAAAGCAGAAGAACTATATAAGGGCCGAAGCCCTATGTAAGTGATCAAGGCCCGCATTACCGAAGCAGAAGCCTCCCAACCATAAATTGAGCATGTTTAATATTTATTTCTTCCAAGAGATCTTTTACATTAAGATCTTATCCGAATGATTGACGTGACATTTTATAATGACTATAAATGTATTGTCTTGTCAATATGATGACTGCTATGTGTAAGAACATTAAATGCACCACAGGCTAGGAGGTCAAAATGATGGCTAGGATTAGATGCTTCGGTTGAGGAGATGAAACCACGTGGCTCCTTATTCAATGGACACCATCTCATGTGTAATATTTTAAAAACCCATTTCTTGTATCAAATGGGAGAGCATGCAAGATCTAATACAAGAGCAATATGCTTTTCTCTACCCTTTTGCAAATACAAAAGAGTTTATATTATATTCATCCGCTATGATTGGTAATTACGGTACAATCGTTCTACAAATTCATCGTCGGATTCCGAATGTTGTCGCCCTGTGCCTTTGAGCTTTCCCACACCCTTTTTCAAATCGTTCTAGACCATTTGTGCATCTTAGCGTGTTGAATTTGTCTTGTGTGTGTGTGAGTAGGTCCAGTATCTGTTATCCGCATGGCCCCAACCGAAAACGAGGTCTACAGATTGACACCATCTGTGGAAAATCACACTATAACCACATTAGAGAGTTGGGCATCCCCTTGAAAAATGATTTGTTCTTGAAGAAAGAACAAGTAGAAGCCCCAAGAAAAAGCTTTTGAGTTTACATTGGTACTTGGATTGTTGATATTTGATGAAAAAGGGAATATGTTGAGATAGAAATCCATTTGTATGACCATCATGTCTTTGAAGGAAAGATTTGAATGGAAAAATGAGCTCAAGCAATGAAGTAGTCCCACTTAGAAGGGTTAGGAAGACCCCTAAAGAAGGGGTCTCCTAGAGAACTTTCCCAGTGAGTCATAACCGACCTCATCACTAGCATAGATGAGGTGGAATAAGAGTAACTATCCAACTCACTTAGGAAGTGGCTAAATGGCTACCAACATAAGAAGTATCATATAAAAAAAGACATTGTACAATAGCTCTAAAAGCAAGAAAATAGGAAGAAAACCCCCTAAAAAGGAAGGAGGCCTATAAAGTAGAGGCCATGAATAGACCCCCTGAAGAGGGGGATGTCACAAAAGAAGTGGCATTGAAAAACTAAGAAGGGGAGGCCTCTAAAGAAGAGCTCACGAATAAGAAGACCCCCTGAAAAAGGAGAGACTGCTGAAGAAGTGGCATTAAACAAGAAAAACCCTAAAAGGAGAGGTCTCTAGTGAAGAGGCTATTGGAAGACCCATTTTACAAATGGGAGGCCTTTAAAGGAGGAAAACAACACAAAAGAAGATAAAAGGACTAAAAGCGTACAAATATGTGAACTTGGGGACTATTGTATAGATGTTTCAAAAGTTAAAGGACTGCGAATGCAATATATCAAGGGTATGATTGAAATCAAAGGCAAAATATGAGGATCAAAACGTACCAAATCAAAAGTTGAAAGACCTCGGTATGAAATTACTCAAGGACTTAAAAGGTAATTTTCATATTTTGCCTATGTACAAGCATGAGCTTCTACAGATTCATCGTATAAGGCCTCATATTTTGTCTATGCTTCAGTGCCTCAACATACAAGGCCTCTTATTTTGCCCATACTTCAGTGCCTTGGCATACAAGGTCTCATCTTTGCCTGTGCTTTAATGCCTCGGCATACAAAGCCTTTTATTTTGCCAATGCTTCAGTACCTCAGCATATAAGACCTAATCTTTGCCTATCCTGTAATACCTCAATATGCAATGCCTCATCCTTACCTATACTTCAGGCTCACCATTTAAGGCCTCATTTTTAGCTATGCTTCAGCACCTCCGCCACATAAGACCTCGTCATTTCAAGGTAATTTATAAGATTACTTTAGAACCATTTGTGAAATATTTATACCCCACCTCGCCAGATGTTTATTTCTGGCTTTAAGAGATGTTTATTCTTTACTTCTCACTATCGCCGAACCTAACTGTAGGACCTCGCTATTTCGAGGCCAGTTTATAAGATTCCGATAGTTTGAGAGCTATATGCGAGAAGTTTATTCCCCGCCTCGCCAGATGATTATTCTTGGCTTCGAGAGATGTTTATTCCTCACTTCTCACTATCGTCAAACTTAGCATAAGACCTCTTTATTCCAAGGCTAATTTATAAGATTCCGATAGTTTGAGAGCTATATGCGGAAAGTTTATCCCCCGCCTCGCCAGATGATTAGTCCTAGCTTCGAGAGATAATTACTTCTCACTTCTCACTATTGTCAAACCTAGCTTTAAGACCTCGTTATTCCAAGCCAATTTATAAGACTCCGATAGTTTGAGAGCTATATGTGGAAAGTTTATCCCATGTCTCGCCAAATGCTTATTCCAGACTTCACGAGATGTTTATTTTTCGACTTCCACTATCATCGAGCCTAGCTGTAAGATCTCATCATTCTGAGGCTAATTTATAGGACTTCGATAGTTTGAGAGCTATTCACTAGATGTTTATTCCCCATCTTGCTATATGTTTATTCCTCACTACTTACTATCGTCAACCTTAGCTATAAGCATTTGTCCACTCGAGGCCAACTTACAAGTCTCTAATAGTTTGAGAGAGCCACCAACTCAATATTTATTCATTGCTCTGCGAGATGCCTCACCATACGAGATGTTTCATTACAAGTCAATTTAACTTCAAAAAGTTTATATTATCCTCTGCATAGATTAACCATCCACCATGTAGGAAGTATGAGGGCCTTGGGTCCAAATTCTCTAAGGTTGACATCACATGCCTCCTATGTACAAAAGTCATGGGAGAGCCTCTGCATGGATGAATCATCCACCATACAGGGAAACGTGGGCGCTTCAACAAAGGGCTGGATCCCAAAGGGGACCACCTTCCAATTCGTCAAAGGGAATAGCACATACTTATCATGTAAAAAAAGTCATGGGAAAAAGCCTCTACATGGATGAATCATCCACCATGCAGGAAAGTGTGAGCGCTTCAACGAAGAGCTGGATCCTAAAGGGGACCACATCCTAATTCGTCGAAGTGAATAGTACATGCCTCCATGTACAAAAAAATCATGAGAAAAGCCTCTGCATAGATAAATCATCCATTATGTAGGGAAGCATGAGCGCTTCAACAAAGAGCTGGATCCTAAAATGAGACTACCTCCTAATTCATTGAAGCGAATAGCACATGCCTCCCATGTACAAAAAAGTCATGGGAGAAACCTCTGCGTGGATGAACCATCTACCATGTAGGGAAGCGTTAGCGCTTCAACAAAGAGCTGGATCTCAAAGGGGACAACATCCTAATTCGATGAAGCGGATAGGACATACCTCCCATGTACAAAAAAAGAAAAAGGAGAAGCCTCTACATGGATGAACCATCCATCATGCAGGGAAGTGTGGGCACTTCAACGAAGGGCTGGATCCCAAAGGGGACAATCTCCTAATTCGTTGAAGCGAGTAGAACATGCCTCCCATGTACAAAAAGTCATGGGAGAAGCCTTTGCATGGATGAACCCTCCCATGTACAAAAAGTCACGGGATAAGCCTCTATATGGATGAACCATCTACCATGTAGAGAAGTATAAGCACTTCAACAAAGAGCTAGATGTCGAAGAAGACCACCTCCTAATTTGTCGAAGCGGATAACACATACCTCCCATAAACAAATAAGTCATGGAAGAAGCCTCTGCATGAATGAACCATCCGCTATGCAAGAAAGTCATGGGAAAAGCTTCTACTCCCTTCTTAAAATTTCAGCAAAAACTTGACGTACACAACTTCAGATAATAGGGACCTCAGCTCATTGGAATTTCAGCAAAAATATTTTTTAAAAAGACAGCTTCAGCACATGACTCTAGTGTCTTCATCAAAATTTCGATAAATCATAAAGCAAAAAACTTACCACACTTCAAGTCTTCAAACAACATCTACGATAAGTGCTTATACAAATTTCACTCAGTTATTTCACTTTTAAAATCCAATTATAATATAAATATCTATAATTGGATTTGGAAGAGTATTGTTATGCCTCAAAATTAAGTCTTAAGAAGAAGTTCATGCCTTAAACCGAGGCTCAAGAAGCCCTAAAATTGAGGCCTTGAAGCGAAAGCACTGTGTAGTAACCGAGACCCTAAAGCGAAAGCACTGTGTAAGTGTCAAGGCCTTGCTTCCATGTAGTAGCTAAGGTACTGAGCAAAAGCACTGTGTAAGTGTCGAGACCTTGAAGCGAAAGAACTGTGCAGTAGTTGAGGCCCTGAAGCGGAACCACTGTTTAACTGCTAAGACCCTGAAGCGAAAGCACTGTGTAAGTGCTGAAGCCCTGAAGCGAAGCACTGTATAGTGGTTGAGGCTCGCATTACGGAAGCAGAAGCCTCCTAATCATAAATGGAGCATCTTCCATATTCACTTCTTCCAAGAAATCTTTTACATAAAGATCTTATCCGAATAATTGATGTGACCTTTTGTAATGGGTTCAAATATCTTATCTTGTCAATATGATGACTGCTATATGTAAGAACATTAAATGCGCCACAGGCTAGGAGGTCAAAATCATGGCTAGAATTAGATACTTTGTTTGAGAAAATGAAGCCACGTGGCTCTTCATCCAATGGACACCATCTCATGTGTAATAATACAAATGTCACCTTTTTGTATTAATTAGGAGAGAATTCAAGATCTAATACAAGAGCAATATACTTTTCTATACTCTCTTGCAAATACAAACGAGTTTACATTATATGCATCCGCTGCGATTGGTAATTACGGTACAATCGTTCTACAAATTCATCGTCGAATTTCGAATATTGTCGTCCTGGGCCTTTGAGTTGCTCCCATGCCCTTTCTCAGACCGTTCTAAAATTTGTGTGTCTTAACGTGTTGCATTTGACTTACATGTGGGCTAGTAGGTTCGGTATCTGTTGTCCATATGACCCCAACCGAAAACGAGGTCAATATATATAAATATTTTCCTATAGACGTTTGAGTGTTTAATTTATTCAATGATTTGATGATTATTCAAATGTTTTATGGTATCATAATGTGCCCTACCTATGATAACCTAAAAATAAGATCTATTCAATTTACTGCATATTAGCAATGGTTGTTGATATCGAGTATCATGTGCTTCGTATGGAATGCTAATAGTGTGTTTTTTATACTGTTTTGAAAATGCTCTTTTATTTCAGAGAGATTAATTTATTAGTAAACATGCTACATTTTGCACTTGTCTCATATTTGGGAAAAAATTTCTAGTGTGTTCTTATTTGGTCATTGGTTTAATTGGTTAGAGCATCTCCAAGAGTCTCCATTAGCAAATTGTTCCACAAGGAGTATCGGGTCTTTTCATTCGATATAGTCTTACAAGAAATTAATTCAACACTGAATCATGCAAAATAGCTTTTGAGGGACTCACTTTTTTCTGTCTCATGTTATTCGATCCTATAGCTAGTGCTCGCCCCATTCTATTCCCAATAAATGCCTTTAGGAATGCCTACTTCAATTGCAGACACTTTCTAATTTAGCCTAGAACAACTTATTGTACCATCACTTAGCAGGTCCATCCAATGTTAGGTGGAAGCCTCAGCACTTGAGTGCTGGGCTTGCCTTTTTTTAGCTTCATCTTTGTCATGTACTCGAATATATGATACGTCATATCTCCTTTTCCATTATACTTCTCTATCATAGGACAAACAAAATTATCTGAAATTGGCATTTCTTTTATCTCTTTTGAGAACGGCAAATATTCATCATCGTCAGCCATCTCATATAATCCAGTAGATTGAGCTACATGGTCTCCGACCTCCCTGGCAATAATATTGGTTAAACCTCTTGTTGTATGAGCTTACTTCATCCGTAGACTTTTTCAAAGTGGATTTACTATCACATTGTTCCTTATTTTCCTCTCCAGTACACTATCATCGGTTCTCGACATCTGCAAACTGCTACTATTTTCCCGGATAGAGCTAGTAGCATGCTCCATTCTGTTTTCACCGATTCATCCTACCAATTTTTCCTTGGATTCTCAATTTTTGCACGCAACGATGCATTCTCTATCTTTGACACCTTTAGGATCTTAGCTTTTTGGATCGTTTTTGCGATATACATCGTTTCCCATAAACGACAATGCCGAGTGGGAGAAATTTCAAGTTGCGACTTTGCCAGCGTTTCCTCCTATTGCAACTTCGAATTCGCATCACTATCCACTAGATCATCACTATTGTATCTTCCAGTTTCAATTTTTGACGCTATTTTTTTCTTCTAGATTCACTTTCATTTGACTCGTTTTTGCGGATTACAAGGATTTCTTAACTCTTATAGAGATTTTCGTGATCTACTTTCTCAAGTTTTCCACAGATAACGTTAATTTGTTGATGATAAAAATCAAATCAACAAATTCCACTCACATAACCAGGATTTTTGCCTCTTAAACTCTATGATTTTGATGCTCAAAAGGAAGCAAGATAATAAATGACTATTTGGGAAGGAAATATTTGAATTTTGCATAGCTTCCTTCTCTTAAGTGGGAGTATTTATAGATTTCCCTCAAAGCTTAGGGGCAATTCTATCATTTAGGAAAAATGACTGATTTTGTTATAATGTAACGTTTTATTCATTAGTTTACATGCCTTTCATTAATTGATTTTGATATCACGCTTTGAACACCTATTCACGTACACCTTAATAACGATTTCATCCAACCTGGATGAGGAATAGCTCGGTTGTGCTTCGTACACGCCTATTATGATTTTACTCCCTCGCATATCGCCTATAGTTCACAAGTTGGGGGTCTGTTCGTGAAATTGGATTTTATTTTATTCAACACATTGTATTTTATTTAAGACACATTTAAGCCCCTGTTTGATGGTGATTAAAATTATATTTTTAGTAGATTTTAATAAAAGTTGATGAAATGTATAGTTGAAAAATTGTGAAACCCATAAAATATGTGGTTAAAATTGAATGTTGACTATGATTTAAATAAAATCTAAATTTTTATCAACATCTAAGAGGGGCTTGTTCATTTTATTTCAAAATTCAAATAAATAATTCAATGGTCAAGTTTATTTATGCAAACACACAGTGACCAAAATAACACGTGAGATAAGTTATTGAAAAGAAAAAAGGACAAAATATTTAGGATCTTCTCTAGGGATGGCAATCGGGCTCGTCGGCTCGGGCCGTCCGTGTCTCGGCTCGAGGCTCAGTAGACCCGAGTCTAGGCTCAGGTCGAGCCCCATTTTGGGAACACGGGCTTTGCCCAAACCGGCGCGTGAGCTCGCGAGCTTTTTAAAAAAAAAATTGAGGCTGCCTTGGCAGCAAAACTACTGCCTTTTAAGGCAGTAGCTGAGAGAGAGAGAGAGAGAGAGAGAGAGAGAGCGAGTCTGTCCAGCTCGACCCGAAACTGTAAAAAAGTTCGATCATTTTAATTGGGTCGAGCCCAAGCCGAAACATTAGGCTCGCGAGCCGGCACGTCTTGACTCATTTACATTCCTAAATTCTACTCTAACACAGAATTATTCGAATTGGATAAAAATCTAACTCATTGATCCCAGTAGGTATTATTCAACGAAAAAAAAAAGGACAAATGGGATCATCCTTTGCACAAAAACTAGCGATCCTATTCCAATCAAAACCAACTGCAAATCAAATATCTGAAGCGCAATATTTGCTGACTCTGAGTGCCATTATCTTTCTTTCTTTCTTTTTTTTTAACAAGGTGTCCGGACTTGCGTCCGACTAGATCCTTGTCCCTGAACTTCCGGCCCCTCAGCAGCTCAGGGAGGTAAATCGCAGGATGTGCCCTTATTGGCTCCCAGGTTCCCACAACTCATTTGGACTCCTTCCGCAAAGAGAGCTCTCCTCACTGGGCGTTTGTTCACACCAATGGCTTCCTCTCCATATGGCTCCCATTATCTTTCTTTCTTTGCATGCAAGCCAGGTGGGGAGAGTGGGATCCCAAGTGTCTCGCACTACTTCAATCTGCCAGTTGTTAGATTAACACCACTTGGTATCTCTTGATTTTTACGATTTAAATAGTTGGGTCGAATTGATTGCATAAGAGCCTCTCCTTGCTTCCAGCGTCCCAGCGAAGTGATTGTTCCACCAACTCGGATGTGCCCTGGGAGGCAAGGGTTGCATTTTCTATTCGAAAAGGATTTGAGAAAGAAGAAAGAAATAATTATTTTTTTTACTTCTGATTTTTAATAATTTATTTGGGTCTTATTTGATTTTTTTTTAAAATTGGGAGTATAGTTATAATTAGTTCTTTATTTTTCTTTTAATCTTTTATTTTAAATATGAGAACATATTCAACATTTTACAGCTTTTATTGAAAATTTGGCAGGGATTCCAAGTCTACAATTGAATTTGTGTACACCGGCGGATTTTTATTTTTCTCAACCATTATATGGCGAATCAAGGCAATTAAAGCTTTCGCAAGGAGGAAGAAATTTGGGGATTTGCGGTATTGTGGGAAAAAGGAGCATTTTGGTGCCAATCAAGGCAATGGAGTCTTCCAAAACGACGTCGCCCATCAATGGGAATGCAGGCAGTTTCCGGCAATCCGGATGCAATTCCGGCTATGATGTGCTTAGAAATGAATGTGATGATTTTTCCGGTATATAATTGAATGAATCTCTTTATGTTTTCTCCCAATTTTTAATTTGTATTGGAGAATTTTGTGATGAATGCTGGAAAGATTATTTTAACAGATAAAAGTATGGCCCAGATGTCTACAATTGGAAATTCGACGAATATTGTTTGGCACAAATGTATTGTGGAGAAGAGTGACAGACAACAGCTGCTTGGGCAAAAGGGTTGTGCCATTTGGATTACTGGCCTCAGCGGTTCAGGTTTTTATTACACTCTTAGGGCGTGTTTAATATTTATTTATTTATTTATTTTATCTTTGATAGTTTTGGATAGCATTGTTTGCTAGAGATTGGGAAAATAGTTTGTGGAGCACTGATTTTGGGTGGTTTAAAAAAATTCACCCAAAACGTGCCCATCAAAGCTGTGGTTTTTGACGGTCTTCAACCCACATATATTGGTTAAAACTAATGAAGGTCATTTCTTAAGAAGTATTTTAAGTAAATAATCATTTACAAGAGAGGTGGGGAAAAAAAATTTACATGTAAAAAGAATTTCTTATAAATGAGAAATACAATAATAAAAAATTTTACTTATAAACCAAAAAATTACTTTATAACTAAAGAAATTCTTAAAACACAAAAATTTATTTTTATACATAAATTGCATATAAAGTGAAATAATAATAATAATAATAATAATAATAATTGTATAACTAATAAGACTTGGTCTCAGTTTAGTAGGGATTAAACTTCGGATTTGAATTTAAGGGCCAATTTGATGGTCTTTAAAAGTTTAAATTGTTTGCTACAGTATTACTCATCATCACACACTCGCACAATAAAATATTCTACACACAAATCAATGAAGTTTCATTACTTTTTAACCACACTTTTTTCGAAAAGTACTATTCAATAACTCATTATTCCTAAATAAATTCTATCAAACAAGCTCTAAGTCAAAATCAACAATTACTTTTAATTATATATTTTATGGGATCTACAATTTTCAACCCCACATTTCATCAATTTTAACAAAATCTATTAAAAATCTTATTTTAATTCACACGAAATAGACGCTTAAATTTACTTATAAAATATAAAAAGTTATTTATAAGTAAAAAATTCAGTTATGTGTATAAGTGCAAGGTTAACTTGTGACTGTAAAATTTATTTATAAGTAAAAAAATTATCCAATAATTTAAATTTTAACTAAAAATAAATATATCACTTTAAGTTAAAAATAAACTTATATGGAAAAAAATACTTATAAATAAACAATCATTTATGAATTAAAAAAAAATCAAATTGGTGAGTAAAAAATATTGAATGTCATCTCTTAAGAAGTATTTAGCATAAGAGCTTAGATGTACTCACTCATGGAAATTAGCTTCACAATGTTATTCATTTTTCTTCATCTTATAATTCAATAGAAAATAAGTATCTCTCATTCGAAACAACAGTAATTAGTCCAAATGTAGTCTATACATCATAAAAATTGAATGCTTACTCCATATTGTTTACACATATCTACCTTTTGCATATACGGGCATATATATAAATTTTTTTTTTATTTTAAAAAACTTTTAGAATCACTTAATAATTAAAAATCAAGCATGAAATGAATTATTTTACGCTACTAAAAAACCAACCAAAGCTGGACCCTCTAACTAGTACTTTTAAACCCCATAGCCGATAATTTTCATTAGATGTAGCTACGAGAATCAATTGTTATTCGGCACTTCCTACTGTTATTCGCTGCAAGTTTGGAAAAAATCCGCAAGTGTATGGGATCATTGACAAGTAATAGAAATCAATGAATTTCGAGTTTCTCGTTCCCACGAGGAATAAGGTATAATATCTAATTCAATAGCTTTTATCAAATTTGAAATCATGTAACATCAAAAGAGATGGTTAGTATGTTTTCTGTACTAATCTTAAACTAGGAAAGCAAATAAAATATTTATCTAATATGTGAATATTTGTATTGTAATCGTGAATTCATCTATTGCCATTTAATTCAACTCTTAATTCATAATTTAGTAAATTTATGCATTTAAAACAATCGATAATCCACTTTTACTCAATATTCTTTTCCAAAATATATTAAACATATGTTTAACACAACCCAATCTTATTTCTAGTCAAAATTCATATGAAAAACGTGTATTGATTCACAAGATGATCACACATGCCATAGATATTATTCCTAATACCTATTATTCATGTGTTGATTTTTCTGCTTTCTAAACTTATTGTGAGTATTCCTACACTACAACAAGCCACTTACTATCTAAATGGGGATCAAACAATCGAATAGTTCAATGGGAATGTAAAACTAATCAAAAATATAAAACTAATTGTCTTAAATTAAAATAAACAAACAATAAGGTTTATCATTCATCCAATACAAAGAAAAACTTAGCCTAACATTCTTATAATTAAATTACACAAGAATAATTGGAAAAACATCAACTGAAAATAAGAAAGATGGAAGAAGTAAGAGAAATTCACGTTCTACCTCCAAAATATGTAGAATGTGATGAAATTGGAATAAGTTCGACAACGAATCAAGAAATCTTGGTGATTGAACTCGCCAAAAAAATCACAATGCAAAAAGTTGTTCTTGCCGGGCGAGTAGCGTCAGAGACATCTTTATACTTAGGTTGAATGGAGGTTCCCCACGTTCTAGATAGCTTATGATATATATAGAATGCCAAAAAAATATATACTAAAAGTTTTCAAAACAAAATAAGGAAACACAATTTTTTTTTTTAACCTCGGAAAGCATAGTTCATTTGGTGCATAAGCACAATACACGTGATTTAGTCTCAGGAATGACTTTTTGTGACTGGTACAAATTTTTGGGACCAATTTTGCTACTTTGGTACCTGAACTTTCTCTCGTGTGTATTTTGATCCTTTTCAGCAATTTCTTATCACGTTGCCTTCTCTTCAATTCCAATTGGCTCTTGGAATTCTTGAATTGCCATCTTGCAATCCGACACAACTTTTGAATTATTGCATTTTAGTACTCATAGTTTTGATTTCGCCATTTTTTCTATTTTTTTCTTGTTTTCTCCAATTCTTCATCAAATCATGAGTTTTACCTATTAAACACAATATAACACAAATTAGAATATATTTCATCAAAAGAACTACAATATGTCATTATTTAAGGTCCTGATTATACACTTATCACTACACTTCTCATGTACTGCTGTTAATTTTTTCTCAGACCATTATTCTGTTATTACCATATTTTCCACAAAGCCCATTTCAGAAGCAAGCAATTTCAAAAGGAGTTCAATTGTAAGTGTGATTAGGGGGAAAAAATAAAACCAAAGCTAAGACTATTATGATATCAAACTATCAACATGAATACTAAAGGCTTTATAGTTTTAGATAATTGTATGTAGATTAGAAAAATTGTATCCAGTTGGTTCTTGATACATTATTATTCGATAATATTCCGAGGGTTGGGAAATACAGTGAGTTATGTTGAGCTGAGACCATTGTTCTGGGGTATATTTTATTATATGTATCTGCATTATTGAAATTGCAACATTTCATTCTTTGCTGCTTCCTTAGAAGCACTATAAAATAATTGAAATTGAAAATCCTGGAAAGAAAATAGTCATTCTATTTGATCTTGTACAGATGGTGTGAGATAGTGACTCTTGGTTTGACTGGAGCTCTAAACAACTCTGTCACACCCCCATCCTAAAATTTATAGGAAGCAACACGTAGTTTTTGTTGTTGTGCAAATAAAGAGAACTGTTACATTTTCTACAACCAATAGGAAACTTATCAAAAATTTTAACAAACAGTCACATGTTTGAGTGTCATACAGATAAAATCCTGTCGTGGTCATTTTTTTGTGAAGGCAGGTTTTGTTTAAGAACCTTGAAAGTTATGCACATTTATAAGAAGAAAGGAATTTTTTTTATTTGAAAGTTTCTGGACTTGAATGTTGCTCTCAGATGAAAGTAACCATTGCATCTTTGTGAATGGATTCTGTGTTTATGGCAGGTAGTCAGAGTAACATAATCAGATTTAAACATAGATATTGAATGTCTTTCCAATCAAGAGCCAACTGTGGAAAGAGGAACTAAAACATTTTTCTCAGGTTTGAACTGTTGTTGACTATATATGATCTGTTTCTCTGGAAGATTGATACAAGAAAATGAATTCACATCAATTTGACCATTGTGATCTATCAGTGGCAATACCAAAGTCTCCTGAGATAGTTTCTACGAGTTATGTGGAAGCATGATCATATGCTGCATCAGTTATTTTTATACCAGGACTAGAAATAAAATGTTGAAGAATGACCAACCCTGAAAAATCCAAGTAGTGAGACTTGGAAAGCACTTCTTTTATTTGTTGTCGATCCTACATGAATTGGATTGGTCCCCAAAGTCCATATATATACACAAGTTATTTTTATTTTAAATATAATTTGTGGGGATGGTATTTGATACACCAACAATGAAGCCATTCTGCCAAAAACTAATAGGAATGACAAAATGTTAATAATAACTTATTTCTCTGTTTAGCCTTAGGAATTTTTTCTGTTCCTTTTCCCTCTTTTTTGTGCGTAACACGGTACGGATTTTGTTACTCTTAATTTCATGATTTCGTTGTCTGAAGGAAGTGGTGGTGTATTTCAGGAAAAAGTACTTTGGCATGTGCTTTAAGTCGTGGCTTACATGCTAGAGTAGTCAATCCTACATGAATTGGATTGGTCCCCAAAGTACATATATATACACACAATTTATTTTTATTTTAAATATAATTTTATGGGGATGGTATTTGATACACCATCAATGAAGCCATTCTGCAAAAAACTAATAGGAATGACAAAATGTTAATAATAACTTATTTCTCTGTTTAGCCTTAGGAATTCTTTCTGTTCCTTTTCCCTCTTTTTTGTGCATAACATGGTACAGATTTTGTTACTCTTAATTTCATGATTTTGTTGTCTGAAGGAAGTGGTGGTGTATTTCAGGAAAAAGTACTTTGGCATGTGCTTTAAGTCATGGCTTACATGCTAGAGGAAAGCTCACCTACATACTTGATGGTGATAATGTTCGCCACGGTCTAAACAGTGACCTTGGTTTTAAAGCTGAAGATCGAGCGGGGAATATAAGAAGGATTGGTTGGTTTTTCACATTTTTTTTGCCTGATTCCTGAATTGAGTCTACATTCTAAAGAATCCGACTTTTCCATTTATAGGTTAAGCTGTTTAGAAATTGTGTCTTATGATCAACAGGAGAGGTGGCAAAGTTATTTTCAGATGCTGGAGTTATTTGTATTGCAAGTTTGATATCGCCTTACATTAAGGACCGTGATGCCTGTCATTTGTTACTTCCAGAAGGAGATTTTTCTTGAGGTTAGTATTCCTCTTTTGGAATTTTTACATGCAAGGTTTTTATTTTCTTAGCTATTGGAACAAGACAAATATTTGAGGTAGAAGACTCGTATTTATTGCAAATAATTGATTTGGGTGTCAAATATGCAGGTATTTATGGATGTTCCTCTTCGAGTCTGCGAGACGAGGGATCCAAAGGGATTATACAAGCTTGCACGAGCTGGAAAAATCAAAGGTAAGTTGAGTTTTTTCAATATATGACTATGTTTGAGTTTGAAAACCATTTTTGCTGAGGATATAAAATGTAGATTGCTTGTTGGGCCATGCTGGTACGACTGACTATGCATTAGAAAGGTCAACCTTTCCCTATGACACCAAAAAAATGGTGCCGAGCTTCTTTCAGTTTATGGATTACCCTAGGTCAGTTCATGGGCCAATAAAGGATTTTTATCTTCGAAACCCATTGGAAGGGGCAGTGCTAGAGAAATCATACAGAAAATTTCCCATGAAGCCATCTGCAGGCCAGCATATCCTTTTGTGAGGATTTATTTCCCATGAAGCCATCTGCCGCAATTAAATTTTATTTTATTTTATTTTTTTTGGTCTGTGCGCGCATTAGAGCAACTAATTAGGCTTAAGACTTCAATAACATACCCAGTCCTAATTTGTTGGACAGCAAACCATCCATGTCTTTTCAATCAACCATGTGTATTCAGAATTTTACGCATAAGCGGCTTGCTCCATGGTGGCACTGAGCAGGAGCTGCATGAACTGGAGGTTCTGGATTTTATATTTATGATTGGTTCGAGTGTTTAAGTTTCTAAATTTTATTCATCTTTGTTGGTTGTCTGAGGAAATTCTTGACTACAATTCCTGATTTGGCACTTTTCACCATCAGATACTAGTATTAGGAGTCAAATATGCATAGATTCTTGTTGCTTCATTTTCACTGTGAATAAGTATGAACTAGCTCTTTGGTAACAGTACTACAAGAATTGGCAATGAACATCCCTCCTCTAATAGTACATGCTCCACTGGAATTTTATCCCTGAACTCTTCCTTCCAGCTTCAATCTTCTCTGGCATTTAATTTTTCCATCTAAACCAATCAATTCAATTGCTCTTTTCTCAGGTTTTACAGGCGTTGATGATCTATATGAGTCACCATTAAATTCTGAGGTATGTACTCCTATCAGGGAAAGGAGGAAGTATCTTGCTGAACCCATTAAACAACCATCCTTAAATAGATCCTATCTTCTCCTAATGCAATAAATGTTCTTTTATATAGTATTAGTATCTTGTATCTTTTTAGTTGGTTTTGGCAACAACATTGTTTTACTTAGGAGTTATAAAATGAATAACGTTAAAATATTTAGGCTTTGTTTAGATGATTACTGCCTTCCAAAATTCTTTTGAAGACAAAAATTATGGTTCGACCTCGATCTTGATAGACTGCTGAAGAATTTCTATGTTTTTTGTGCTTTCCTTGTTCTTTTTTCAAATTTCTTAAATTTCTGATGTTGTTCACTCTGTGTCTTGCAGATAGTATTGCATCAACATGGAGGCATGTCTGATTCTCCAACAAATTTGGCTGAAATAGTGATTTCGTACTTGGAAACAAAAGGGTACCTGGAGGCTTAATTTGCAAATGCTTTTGTGCTTTTGTGTAATTGTATTAATAGCGTGTTTAACATTGATTTTTTAGTTAAAAAAAATTGATAAAAGTTGGCGATTTCATAAAATGTGATTAAAAAGTGGATAAAAGCGTATACAGAAGTTTTTCTTTTAAGTGATCTAGAAGCATTTCTTGATTCTGCTTATTTTTGTTCGTGACGATTATGGTCTTTGGCCAATATTATCAAATATTTATCGTTTAGAGGTCTGTTCTAGCATTTTTTTTTCATTTTAGCAATTTTTTAATTTATTCGAATTTACCTCTATAATTTATTTTGAGTCTTTAAATATGTATTAAGGGTTTGTATATTACATATTCATTCTTTTTAATTTAATAATAATTCAAAATTTTTTTTTGTTAATCGGTGCATGATTTCCAATAGTTTTTACGTCCATTAGAGCAAAATTTAAGCAACATATTTTCGTGTGTTACAAACAATATTTTATTATTATTGTTCATGTTTTTCTACTTGCGTCATGCTTGCTACTTTTAAATATACTAAGTATATTAATTAACCAAAATTAAATTCAGAATTAATAAAATTAAGAGATATGCTATACGTTCAGGGCCAATGTTGGCCCTGGACGTCTAGGGCGCTAAATGGCGCCCCTTATAGGTGGGGGGCCCAACAAGCTGTAGGGGGCGCTAAGTACAAGCCCCCCCCCACCTAAATGGCGCCCTTGTCCATCCAAGGCTCACGTGGCTTTGAACAATAAGTTTTTTCCTAAAATTAATTGACCAACCTTTAAATGATCGTACTAATTTTTTATACTATAGTCAAGCCTCCCACCTATAGGGGGTGCCAAA